AGTGCTAAACTTCCGTTGATTTTAACTCGCTGTTGATCTGGAACTTGAGATGGCAAAGGCAAGCCCTGCACAAGGAAAATTACAGAGGTTAGGAACATAGTAATTCCTTATTGTTTCTACAATGGCAATGGGCAGACAATAAGTTAGAGAGACCTCAGCTGGGGCAAGTTTACGTATGCCATTCGGTTTCTTTGTTGTTTTTCTTCCTGTTTCACTCCCTCGGCCTCTTCCACTCACTCTCTTCCTGCAAAATGAATATCAAACAAAACAGTCATGCATAAAGCAGAGCTCCAAAAAATCCAAGGGGCTTTAGAGTTTTAGACTTTAGAGGTAGAAATGCTGGGGCTTTGCCATGTATCATGGAATAAAGTCCCACCATTTCACTGGATATGTACACTACCATATTTTACCCCCGATATATCAAAAGCTGCAAAATATCTAGTGTTTCTTCGCCGGAACAGTAATCTTAAAAAAACAGTGTTAGGATATGTTCACTTGTTTATTTTAATTAAATAAACTGATTTTTTATGATTAAAATTGACAGTTGATAACAAAATGTACTCGTAATTATTATTTTTATATATATAAAAAAAAAATTAGAAAAAAAGCTTAAAACTGAGTTTATTGAAGCTTATTTGTAAAAGTTGGATCGAATTAAGTCTTAGGATATTGGCAACAGATCTAAAATAGCAAGTGTCGCAAGAGTGGCAGATTTCCAAATGGTACCTAAGGATACAGTGTTGCTCCTTAGATCCTAATCAAAGAGTGAAAGAAGGAAAAAGATCAGAAATATCACCTTCTAGCGTCATCACGACCTTTTGCATCAATTTCTTTATTAGGTGGGTATTTTGGCAATGTTGATGGATCGCACGCATAAGGTTTACTGCTGAAATACTGACGATGAGACCAAAAAATAACCAAGATTAGAAAGGATCTGGGTGATAGAATTCAAGATTTCAATAGAATAATGCAGAAATTGTAGTGGCACTGTCATATACATTAAAATATGCTATACAGCAAGAAATGCAGGATATTCAGAGAAATGAATTTGGAATTAAACCAAGTATATAACTAATACCTCAGAGCATAGAGCAGAAGAAGCACTTCCACGGTTGTACGGTTCCACAGAGAGTAAAGTTTCAATAAGGCTCACAGCTGGTTCGGGCATATCTTTACAAGTTGCCATTAGAGAGCTCTCGTAACGCTGTTGTGGCTTAAAAAGAGTGGCATGAGGAAGTTTAGACTTCTTCCAGTACTCATCGGGTGGGGATCCGCATAGCTTGAAGATTTTATGCAATTGTTCAACCTGTTCATCAAATGACACAAGTTTTCTCAAGGTTTGGCATGAAAATCAGCAATAACATAATTCTGTTCTCTAAAATTTAATTTGTGTAAAATGATATAATTATGATGTAATCACCTCAGTTCTCCCTTGAAGGAGAGGTTTTCCTAGAAGAACTTCAGCAAATACACAACCAACACTCCAGAGATCAACAGACGGTCCATAATCTGTTGCCCCCAGTAGAAGCTCAGGAGGTCGATACCACAAGGTTACAACACGGCTAGTGAGTGGTTGCCGTTTGGTACTGCAGAAGTTCGCCAAACCAAAATCAGCCACCTTCAAAATCCCTTCATTATTTACCAGAAGATTTGACCCTTTGATATCCCGATGCATTATACCTCGCGAATGGCAGTGCTCAATTCCTGATAACAGCTGCTTCATATAGCACTTGACCTGCATATATCAAGGAAATTTCAGAAAAATAATAGTCGGAATGTTGGATATGCAGACTTTGAATACGAACAAAGCGGTTACATGAACAAAAGAGATGCAGCATTATACTCCTACACTGTTATAGACAACAACTACCAACCACATCCCACTAAAATAAAGTGAAGTTAAATAGTGTTTCCCAAATGATCTTTATCAGCAATACATGAAAATGCAGTAACGAATATCCAAACTGAACAAACCTGTGCCTCCGTAAACTTGATATCAGGACAAGACACTAGTCCAGCAAGATCATGTTCCATGTACTCGAACACCAGGTATATGCTACATGATAACTTGGAGGTGACAATTCCTTCCAACTTTATAATATTAGGATGATCAAGCCTCCGAAGAATCAATATTTCTCGCGCCATAAACCTAACACTCTCCGGCTCAAAATTGTCAAACCGAACCTTCTTCATAGCAACTATCTTCCCAGTTTCAATATCACGTGCTCGAAAAACACTACTGTATGTACCTTGGCCAATCTAAGAAACAAGTAAGAAAAACAAAACACCAATAAGTCTACAGAACAAAAGCATGAATAACAGCAACAACAGTTGATACATGATGAAATCCAGATTAAAAATCAAGCACAAACACTCAATTACTTCGACATTAGGTATACTAATCCAAAAACCATCATAGAACTAAAACCTCAATACTATCAGCATAAACACCGCCTTTTTATACAATTCTACTCAAGTTAACACCGCCTTATGCCAGAATCCGGCCAACATTCCGACTACTTGAACTCGAAGAAAAGTACAAAACAAGAAACATCAGCTTGAAAAAAAATTTCTCCTCCTATAACAAACAATACCAGAATTTGGCCCCAGAGAAAACTTAGTACCAAGACAAGCTTCCAATTTTTAACCCCAACCACCCAATAAAAGACAGAAATCACATGAAATTGACAGATTACATTCTCAAACAAAATAGAAGCTCAAATCCAAGTCAGTAATTGTCACATGTAATCAAATTAAGACTAAAGAACAAATTTTCATGAGATATCACAATACTATAAAAAGAAAATTAAATAAAATTACAAAATTTAAACCCAAAACCATCAATATTAGCTGTAATTTCTTCTTTTGATAAAAACCCAGCTCAATTTTCCAAAAACACACAGAATCTAATTCTCATTGCACATCTCAATTTTCCTCCAAAAATCACAATTCTTAAACAAACAATGACATAAACATAAATCAAATCCCGTCTACATCATTACCCTTAACGACGGAAAAAACCACACAAATTATCCCACAAAACTAAAATCAAATGCAAAAACATAACAATTTAGCACCTTTTCTAATTTCTCAAAAGCATCAACTCTGAGAGGCAACCAACCATGAATAGCCTCACCAGCAACAGCACTCAACCAAGCAGGCCAACCAGCAGCAACCTGTTCACCTTCAACATATTTCTGCAAATTCCCTAACCTAAAACTCACTGATTCACTCCCACAAGTTGAGCTGACTCGCCCTGACTCACTTGGGTTAAACCTCTTCTTACCTTCTGACTCAGTGGGTCCCACCCTGCTCCGACCAGAACCCCCGACAACCACTACATTGTCTCTGAACACGCCGGAGTAATCTGCCGCCGGTGTCACTGACACTCCTCCTTTTGAACTCACACAACCCATCAAAATTTTCCAATTTAAAAAAAATAAATTAATTTTTCTAATTAAAATTTTTTTTAAAAAAATTCAAAATTGAAAATTTATGATGACCCAAGTTTTCTTGGGATCATTGAAGAGACCCAGATCGCTGAAAATTAAAAAAATCAGATTTTATGAGAATTTAGTAAAATGAATGTTGAAATTTAGGGAATGTGAGTGTGTTTGAGAGAATTATTTATATATACACACAATTATGATTATAATGTTAGAATATATGGTGAAAGCAATGATAGTGATTTGGGTGATGTGGCGTGGTTGATTAAATTTGGACTAGTAGTAAAATTATTATTGAATTTTGGGATTTGGATTTGGATTTTCTGTATCCTATTTTTTTTTTTTTTTTTTTTTTTTTTAAATGGGTTTTTTTTTTTTTTTTTTTACTTGAATGATTTGAGTGCGGCAATTGCGGAAGGTGGAGGAAGAAAGAGTGGAGTGAAGAAGAATAGAAAGAAGGAAGGAAATAGCGAGATGAGCGGGCAAAAGATGGATTTTTATTTGTTATGGAGTGGTCTACGGCCTACCTGGTTTTGTGCATTGTTATGGAGTGGTCTACGGCCTACCAAATTGAGCTTTAAACGGAAACTATTGACAAAAATGGTTGCGTGGCAAAACTATTTACCAAACTAAGCTTCCAGGGTAAATCGCTGTCTCGGACAGCGTTTTACCCCTGGTTTTTTTTTTAAAAAAAAATTCAACTGGTAAACGCTGTCCCAGACAGCGTTTTACCTTCTGTATTTTTTTAAATTCAGTAGGGCATAAAACGCTGTCTCGGACAGCGTTTTATCCTTGGGTTTTTTTTAAAAAAAAATTCAATGGGTAAAACGCTGTCCGAAACAGCGTTTTATTCCCTGTTTTTTTTTTTAAATGAAACGCTGTCCGGGACAGCGTTTCATGGCCATATATCAGCATGTTCACTTCAGCAGAATGCGCAAGAACTCAACCTCAACCTCAACGCTTTCCCTCCTCCCTCTCACACTAAACCACGACCGTACTCAAACACCCGCATTGCCGCCGCCGCCCACCCTTGCGCCACCGCTGCTGCCGCCACCTTGCTGCTGCCCTCCTCCCTCTCACACTCACTCACTCAATTTCGTGGTTAGCCCTAAACTGAATTTAGTGTAATTGCATAGTTATTGTGGTTAATTATTGTGAATTGTATGTAATTGCTCTTACTTGTTGTTAATTCATGTCAATTGCATGTAATTGTTGCTAATTATTAATGAAAATGTGGTACATTGTTGATAATTATTGATGGTGATGTGGTACATTGTTATTGAAATTGTTCATGACATTGGTGAAGTTGATGATGGTGAAAATGTTGAAGTTGTTAATGGTTGAAATTGGTGAGAAGAGATGAAATTGTTGAAATTATTGAAATAGTTTAGGTTGAAATTGTTGAAATAATTCAAATTGTTCATGAAATTGTTGAAATTGGTGAAGTTGTTGAAAGTGAAGTTGTTATAGGTGAGAAGAGTCTTATTTCAGTGTTGATAATTTACCTCGCTCTAGATTTCGATAATCCTAAAATGTGTTTTGGTTATGTAGAATATGGCGTCACAAAATGTAGTTTTGTTATGCCGGTGGGGAGGAGAAATTCTGTTTGATGGACCCCGGGTCGAGTATAGTGGGGGAAATATGGAACCACTAACACTAGAACTGAACATGACTATGAATGATTTGATGAATGAGGTTCATAGTAGTATTGGTTCAGACCCGATGACCGTTGACGTACACATTAAAATGAGGTTTGAGACCGGCAATGGGGTTCAAGTGTTACCGGTTTCTACGAATAAGCATGTGACAGCTCTAAGGAACGTTGTTGCAATGAAGGGTGTTCCCACTGAAATATATGTGGAAACGGTGCCTATATGTACCCAACAAAGTACTCGGCCAGAACAATTGCATAGTTATTCGCCTACGCAAGATGATGGTCAGGCTTCACCGTCTCAGCATGCGCCGAATCATCTTGAAGATATTGTGAATAACGAACTTTCTGTGTATGATGTGTACACAAATGATGAGGCCGATAGCGGAGAGGAGGAAGATGGACTTCAGAACATGGATGTAGAACCTGCTCGGATGGAAGTGGGCGAGCCCCTGGTTAGAACTCCCATTCCTTGGTTCAGTCAGGTGAACGAGAACTACGAAGTTGATCAGGATTGGGCCGAATCGGGTAGTCATACGTCGTTTGTTCGGGGGGGGGGGGGGAATTTGAGAAGGGGATGTGGTTCGAAAGTAAGAAAGTGCTCCAAGAAATGGTGAAGATGTATTCCATACAGAGGAATCAGTTCTACACCACAATTACATCGAATGAGAGTGTGCTTCATTTGCGGTGCAAGAAAAAATGTGGTTGGATGCTACGGGGTACCAAATCTAGTAAGCACTCGCGTGGCTTCGCCCTAGTCACATACAAAGGCCCGCACCGGGAGAACTGTGTCACGGAAGTATTGTCCACTGATCACCCGCATTTGGATTCGTCGTTAATATCAGATTTTGTGAAGTCCTTTGTTCGGAAAGATCCGTCTTTGAAAGTTGAATTCATACAAGAACTCATCTCCAAGCAATTTCATTTCGATGTCCCGTACCGGAGGGCATGGTATGCAAAGGGGAAAGCAATAGCTGATATTTACGGTGATTGGGAGAGTTCTTACGGCAGACTTCCGCACTTCATGCAAGCCCTCCAACAGTCAAACCCGGGAACGTGTGTTGTGTGGAAGTACAAAGCGTTGGTTGACGGTGTTTACTACAGCAACATGGAAGTGTTTGAAAGAGTGTTTTGGGCGTTTGGCCCTTGTATCGACGGTTTTAAACATTGTATGTCAGTTATCTGTATCGATGGGACGCACTTGTACGGGAAGTACAAAGGAACACTGTTGGTTGCTACAAGTGTTGATGCAAACTTCCAAGTATTTCCTCTAGCATTTGCGTTGGTTGAGGGGGAAAACACCTCCAGCTGGTCTTGGTTCCTGGGTTGCATTCGGGTTCATGTCACTCAACGAGATGGCCTTTGTGTTATATCTGACCGACATCCTGGGATTAGGGGTGAAACAAATTCGGGTTAAAACCGAACCGAACCGAAAACCGAACCGAATAAGAAATATGGTTCGGTTTTTTTTTTTGAAGTGGTTCGGTTCGGTTTTTTAAAAAAAAATATTTCGGTTTTCGGTTTGGTTTCGGTTTGAGGAAATGGAAAACCGAAAAAAACCGAAAACCGAAATTTAGGCCCAGTATATAAGGAAAAAAAAAAAAACCCTAACCCTCATTCTCTGATTCTCTCTCCTGACTTCCTCAGTTCGCCTCTTACCCTACCCTCATTGCGAATTTCTCAGTCTCTCACCCTCACCTTCTCAGTTTCTCAATCATCTCTTTTGTGTTTCTCAGAATTCTCACTCTCCAATTCTCCATCGTTCACCGGCACAGCGCACTCGTTCAGGCGTTCACTGTGACACCGTCCACCGTCCAAAGGTATGCTTTTAAGTTTTGATTATGCTTGATGTTCATATTTTTTTAGGGTTTTAATTATGATTAGTGTTAAATGTTAATTACGAAAATCTGCAAATTACATGTACAAATTTGTTAAACATTCTGATTAGGGTTTTAATCTATGCTTGATGTTCATATTGCGATGTTGTTTCTGAATTTTCTATTCTGTACAAATTAGTAAAACATTCTGAATTTCCTGGTATTTTGATGCTTCGGGGTTTTGGTCTATTCAAGGGTATTTTGGGTTTTGGTCTAGTAAAACATTCTGATTAGGGTTTTGGTCTAGTAAAACATTCTGAATTTTCTGGTATTTTGAAGCTCTATTCGATTGGACTCTGTTGAAGATTGTTTCAGATTATTAGTTAGTTATTAATTCAAGGGTTCGCATGATTAATAGCATTATCATTGTCTTGATAAGTGTTTATTAGATTGTTGATCTTTGTTATTATTGTTAATTTTGATTTTACTTGTTTTGGGTACAGTTAGTCAGTTAGTGCTTAATTTGATTGTTTTTGGGTGGTGGGGTGGAATCTTAGGGGGCTAATTATTATTGCTAAATTGTTATTGTCTTTGGTTTAGTTAGCCAGTTACTACTGATTTTGTTTATTAGGGGTATAATTATTATTCCCTTTAAAAGATCCAATATTCTTAATTTATGAGTTTGCATGTATTCTTACAGATTGTTATTCAACCACGAATTATTGAATGACAACCAACGTGGGTGGTGTTCCTGACCAGCCTCAATCCGAACATGAGACTGACCAAGTCTCTCAAAATCAGAAAAAAGAACAGGGAGCAAAAAGGAAGAGGATGAAAGAACGCTCTGAAGTTTGGGAGCACTTTGATAAAGAAGACTTACCTTCTGGAATGCAGGCAATTTGCAAGTATTGTGGGATGAGCTACAAGTGTGGGGCAAAGAAAAACGGCACTAGTGTGTTATGGGCTCATATTTCGCGATGTCGTAAGTATCCCTTTAACACCCCTAAAGATTCAAAACAAAGTTTGCTTTCATTTAAAAGTGCTAAAGAACCAAGTGGTGGTACTAGTGGGTTGACATACCACAAATTTGATGCTGGTAGTATTAGAAAAGCTTTGTCATTTATGGTGATTGTTGATGAACTTCCATTTAAGTTTGTTGAAGGTATAGGTTTTAGACATTTTTGTGGTGTAATAGAGCCTAGATTTAATGTTCCTTCTCGAATTACAGTAGCCAAAGATTGTTTTGAAACATATTTAACTGAAAAACGAAAGCTGAAAAATGTGTTAAAAAGGTGTAATTCAAGAGTTTCTTTAACCACTGATACATGGACCTCTATACAACAAATCAATTACATGTGCTTGACTGTCCACTTTATTGATAATAATTGGAAATTACACAAAAGAATTCTGAATTTTTGTCCTATTTCTAGTCATAAGGGTGATGATATTGGCAAAGAAATTGAAAAGTGTTTGCTTGATTGGGGGCTTGAAAATGTCATGTGCATAACAGTTGATAATGCTAGCTCAAATGATACTGCAATTGGGTATATGAGAAGGAAAATAAATGGGTGGAAAACTGGGGTTCTTAAGGGTCGTTTCCTTCACATGCGTTGTGTTGCACACATTGTCAATTTGGTTGTTTCTGATGGGTTGAAAACTGTTAATGAGTCGGTTCAACGTGTTAGGCATGCTGTTAGGTTTATCAAACAATCTCCTGCTAGGTTGCAAAGGTTTAAAAAATGTGTCTTAGATGAAAAAATCAACACAAAAAAGGGATTGTGCCTTGATGTGCCTACTAGGTGGAACTCCACCTATTTGATGTTGAATGCTGCTATTGAGCTTCAAGATGCTTTTGAGAGGTATTCTGGGGAAGACCCTCACTATGTAGTTGATTTGAATGAGAGGGATGGTAAGGGTAGCCCAGATTCTGATGATTGGAATAATGTAAGAAGACTTTCTGAATTTCTACAAGCCTTTTATGATCTGACCTTGCATGTCTCTGGCTCTTTATATGTCAGTTTGAATTTGTTTTTTCATGAATTGGTGAGTGTTGCTGTACTTATGAAAGATTTGGTTTCAAGTGATGATGTGGATATGTGTCTTATGGCTTGTAGAATGAAAGAAAAATATGAAAAGTATTGGGGTGATCCAGAAAAAATAAACCTCCTGATTTTTATTGCCGTTGTCCTTGATCCTCGTTATAAGCTTGATTATGTTGAGTGGATGATAACTGAAATTTATGACCCTATTGTTGCATCAAAGTTAGTTGATAATGTGAAGGTAGCTTTGAATGCTTTGTATGAGGAGTATCGTGTTTCTTCTAGTAATGATGTGAATAGGGAGGAAGTGTCTTCAAGTAAGGATGGCAAAACTCCATTGAGTCCCAAACATAAAAAGATTGAAGTCTTAAAGAGTAAGTATAAGAAACACAAGTGTGAGAGAGATGGAGATGCAAAAATAGAGTTAGACAAATATTTGGAGGAGGATACAGCGGAGGATATTGATGAATTTGACATTTTGAGCTGGTGGAAGTTCAATTGTTCAAGGTTTCCTACTGTGGGGAGAATTGCCCGTGATGTTCTTGCTGTCCCTGTTTCGACAGTAGCTTCTGAGAGTGCATTCAGCACTGGGGGCAGGGTTCTAGATCAGTTTAGGAGCTCATTAACTCCTCGAGTTGTAGAAGGTCTTGTTTGTGCTCAAAATTGGTTACGTGCTTCACCATTTCCAAGTATTGAAGAATGTTTAGAGGAAGTTGAGCTTCTTGAAGAGGGTAATATATAAGAACATCTAATCATAAGTTACTTATTTTCATTATGTGTATATATTTTTAACTTGGTTATTTTTGTTATGAATTATGATAGACTTGAAGAATATGGCAGTTGGTGATGCTGATATTGATGAAGTGCTTGAAATAATAGACTGATGTGGCTCTTTGCTCATTGCTGACTTGTTGTTGCCACTTGCCAGACTTGCTACTGCCTTGCTCTATCACTGCTTTTGCTGCTGACCTGCTGTTATGATGCTGCTGCTGCCCTGCTGCTTGTTGCTACTTGGTCTATGCTGCTTGTTGCTACTTTTTTTACTGCCTTTTAGAACTTGGTCTATGCTGCTTGTTGCTACTGCTGTTAAACAATTGTTAAAGTTGTAATGTTGAACAATTTTTTTTTTTTTTGGATGAAGTGTTGAACTTTTAAAACTTTGAATTATAACTTTGAAGTTTTAGAACTTGTTAATGTTGTTTAAATCTCATTAAGCATTTATGCTACTACATATGTTGATGAATATAATATTTATATGATTTAAGCCCACAAAAATTGCAGATTAAAGCCCAAATAAACAAGGCCCAAAAAAATTCGGTTTGGTTCGGTTTTTTCTTTTGAAACCGAAATTTATATGGTTTGGTTTGGTTTGGTTTCAAAAGTAAAGTGGTGCGGTTTGGTTTCCAAAAACCAAAAACCGAATTAGGGTGGTTCGGTTTCGGTTTGGCCTATAAACCAAACCGAAAACCGAACTTTCACCCCTACCTGGGATCATTGCAGCAATGACTGATCCGAACGTTGGATTTACCGAGCCGCGAGCCTATCACAGATTTTGTGTTCGCCACATAGCTTCTAACTTGAAGACTCACGTGCGACGAAACGACATGAGAGATATGTTCAAGGCTACGGCGTACCAAAGGCAGGAAAGAAAACTACACGGCGATCTGTGTTTCATTAGTGAGGCGTGTAACAAGGCAATTGAGTACATTGTTCAAATTCCGTTCACCATGTGGTCCCTCTTTCACGACGCTGGACGTAGATACGGGATTTGCACTACTAACTTCTCTGAGACATTCAACAACGTGTTGAAGGGAGCACGGTTTCTACCGATCATGTCCCTAGTCGAGTTAACTTTTCATAGAGTTAACAAATATTTCACTTTGAGAAGGGAGTCTTCTGAGGCAAGATTTGAACAGGGACTTGCATACCCCCCCAAGGTCACTGCCATTCTAGAGAAGAACACCGCAAAAGCCAGATATCACAGAGTGGATGCGTATAACCGTCGATTGCATATTTACCAAGTTACAACAGAAAGGGGAGACCGACTTGGTAGTAAAGGAGGCCATAAACATACTGTTAACTTTCAGTTAAGAACGTGTACCTGCAACAAACCTACGATATTTCACCTCCCATGTTCTCACGTTCTAGCCGTATGTGCAACGTACTCACTATCAGAGCGGCCGTGGGTTGACCCGGTGCTGCAATCGGAGGCATACACGAGCACATACGCGCCGCAATTCTGGCCAATCCCTTGCGAGACAACCTGGACGCCCTATAACGGTCCCAGAATCATTCCCGACGGGAGCATGTTGCGTGGAATAGGGCGACCAAGGTCAAAGCGCATACGTAATGAAATGGATGAGACTAACCGGCCCGCGAGCAAATGTAGTCGTTGTCACGTTCAGGGCCATAACCGGGCAACGTGTCCATCGAGACCCTCAGAGGACCCATGACTATTAACTGAAATTCGTTGTAATCGTAGATGGAGGAATTATTTTGTAATAGAAAATTTTGATTTAATAACATTTGGAACATTTTGATTTAATAACATTTGGAACATT